GTGTGTGTGTGTGTGTGTGTGTGTGTGTGTGTGTGTGTGTGTGTGTGCAGTGTCGATGATTGGGGGGTGGAGGCAGTGGGCGGGGCATTTAGAGCAGACTGTCTAAACAAAGCTAGCTCTGTCTGCCTGTGTCTGGCTCTGCATGTAGTGTGTGTCTGACACCCTGACCCCCCCCCACCACCACCACCACACACACACACACACACACGAGACACTTTGCCGTTTGGTTTGATGACATTTTCAGTCTTAGTTTATATTTTATTTAATCTTATTCCTTTAAAACGATGAATCTTAGCCTCCATGGCTAATTCGGGCACTGTCCCTTTTACAATAAATACAATTGTTCAAAAATGTAATTAAAAGTAAAAGTATGCCCACCAGTGTTAAAACTCCCTTTAAAACCATCTGGGATGAGAAAATGCACATGCACGTGCTCAGACAGCAGCTGGACTTCCTCTAACGGGGTAAAAATGAAGAAAGGACTTTTTCATAAACGTGTTATTTTACATCAGAACCGAAACTTTAATACAGAAAACTGTGCGTCTGGTTCAAATAAATTAAAATGTAAACAAATCTTTATCATGTATTTATCATACATTTATCATGTATTTATCATGTATTTATTGTGTCTTTTTACTTCAAGCTTTGTATCAGACTTTTTCATTCTTGTGCCCAGTGAATCAAACCATCGGCTTTAAGGTCATTAAATTAAATTTAATTTAATTTAATTAAAGGTTATAAAGCTCATTTTGTCAGCTCAGTACTCTTCAGCTGTTTTTCTTCTTACTGGCCACAGAAAACATTAAATATTCTTCTTAACACCTGTGTCTTGATCATTTTATACGTCTATTGACGGCTATTTTATTATTAGAGTTCCTATTAAATATTTCATGTTTCATAGAAACGCCGCCCTGTCTCTTCAGACTCGTGCGTTGCTAACTGCACAACCAGACGTTGGTTAAATAATTGGACATGTTTTTCTCAGTTTAAAGAGACTCCAAGTGTAAAATGTTCTGCTGCATCTGGCTCGTAGACCGACCTCAGTCTCTTTATTTGTGCCGTTGCAGCTCAGCTGGAGTTCGTCCAGATCTTGGTTATCGTGGTGGTCATGATGGTCATGGTGGTGGTCATCACCTGCCTGCTAAACCACTATCGCCTCTCGGCCCGCTCCCTCCGGTCCAGACAGGCCCAGACGCGCAGGAGACACGTGCCGCTCGCCAGCGTAAGTCCATTTCACACCTGAAGCTTTGGTCGTGCACACGTTCTCAGAGACATCATCCAATAAAATGTGTAAAAACATGGTGGATACAGGAAGAACAGCTGCAGTGAAACTACACCTACACCGATACTGCCACAGTTACAGTCATTTCATCACAACTTCCTGCAATAAAACGCTGAGGAAACGAGCGATTGTTTGAGTGGATTAGTCACAGAGAGGACGGGTCCTAATGAAAGGCAGCAGAAGAAGAAGAAGGTGCTGACAGACGTCATGTGATCCCTGTGATTAAACACGGCTGCAGGCTCAAGCTCGCCAACTCAATTCTTCGTTCAGGCCGTCTCCAGACACACATGCGCTGCCTTACACCCTTCCTCAAACACATGACCTCACTTGTGCTTCCTGAATCCCTGTGTGTGTGTGTGTCTTTGTTTTTGTTACCTTGTAAGGCCCATTTGTCCAACAAATACTACATTGTGAGGACAACTGTTCCTTATGGAGCCCAAAGCCCGGGCCCCATAAGAAACAGTGTCATTGGTGGGTTAGGGTTAGAGTTAGGCATGTACTGGTTATGGTTAGGGTTAGAGGTAGGTATGTACTGGTTATGGTTAGGGTTAGAGGTAGGTACGTACTGGTTATGGTTAGGGGTAGAGTTAGGTATGTACTGGTTATGGT